ATCTTCTGATAAGCCACACCTGTTCTCAGGTAAATACCAGGAGCAGGTGTGACTCATCAGAAGCCAAGTAGGATAGAAAACCGACTGGATAGTAGCTCTCCAGGACCGGAGTTGGAGACCCTTGCTCTAGGTTGTAAATCGAACACTATAAGAGTTAATAAACATTAACACTGTAAAAACAACACTCACTACACACTGAAAAGTGTTAAAAGTAACGCTGAATGGTGTGGACACCATGCAGTGTTAATTTAACACTGGTACATTTGCTGTGTACCAGCAGACAGATGCAAAAAGCTTATAAATGGCTACAAAAAATGTTTAGAAGCTCTCATTTTCGACAGAGGTTCTGTGACCAAATATTAGTGAAGGGGTCTGATAATCGTGTCCAGCATGCTTTTCATGTCTATATTTTTTATTTCATTACATGAAAGCTTTTCGCTGTTGTTGTTGGTGGTGTTCACTAACTTTGGACATTTTATTTAATATTATTATGATTATACAGAATTGGTTAATTTGCAATCATTTCTGAATATATTCTACATTCTGTACTGACAGTTGAGGGTAAATCCACACAGCAACCCACTGATGCGCGAGATTTTGCTTGGTTTGGCCAATGGCCAGTACACACCTGAAAGTCTATAGGATCTTTAGCTTTCCGCTAACGTTATAATATATTTAGCTTGCTAACATTAACATTCACTATCTTGCTCAAGATGTTTCCTACTATTAATGTTATGCATGCATAGGTGACATGGCTTAAGCAAATTTTTCTGTATTTTAAGAATTAACCTTTTTACAGTTTTTCTCAGTTGCTTTGCTACATTTCACATATCAAAAATGAAATTCTGAAATGAAAACTATTTCTACAATCTCCATGTCACTTGAGCACATAAATGCAAAGTATCATTCTTTTGGTGAATTTGCAAATGCTTTGACACAGACATGCAATTGATTATGTACAATCATGTTGGTCAAAATGTATTATACTGGTTCTCTGTTGAATAGTCTTACCCTGCAAAACACCTAGGCAGTAGTTCCTTGTATAAGTCATTACATGCAAAATGGTTGAACCAGGTGTCATAATCTGTCAAGCATATTCTCTATAATAATAATTGATACTTTATTGATCCCTGTGGGGAAATCTTTACGCCTCCCTCACCTACCACTTTGGGTGACGACTCCGCTTTGCCTAAAATATCGGCTCAGTCTCTTTCTGCTTCCTCAGCTATTGATGAGCATATTGTCCCTGACCTTGTCACTAAGGCTAGGCCCACCACCTGCCTCATGGACCCCCCCATGCCCACCCCACTAGTTAAAATCTGTCTGCTGGCTCTCTGCCCCATTCTTGTCCATATCATAAACACATCTCTTCGCACAGGCTTGGTCCCCTGCTCTCTCAAAACTGCAGCTATCACTCCAGTTTTGAAAAAAGTTGGAGCAGCCACTGATGATTTTAACAACTATTGTCCCATTTCCAACATGCATTTTATCTCCAAACTTCTCGAGCGCACTGTGGCCACGCAGCTTCAAGATCACCTGACTACTTGCAGCCTATGGGAGGAGTTTCAGTTTGTATTCAGGGCAATGCACAGCACTGAGATGGTCAAGGTCGTAAATGACGTGCTCATTGCTGCAGACTCGGGCCATGTCAGTATTCTTCTGCTTTGAGACCTTACAGCTGCTTTTGACACGGTCTGCAACAACACACTGCTCACCCGGCTGGAAACACTGTTGGGCATTACAGGCACTGCACTTGCCTGGTTTACATCTTATCTCACGAGTAGGGAACAGTTTGTCTCTATTGGTGATTTCAGGTCCCCTAGTGCTCCCCTCTCACATGGTGTCCCACAAGGTTTTGTCCTTGGCCCCCTGCTCTTCATCATCTACCTCTTCCCTCTTGGTCACATTCTCAGTCATCACGGCTTAAAATTCCATTGCTATGCCGATGACACACAAATTTACATTCACACCAAGCCCCCCCATCCACTCCCTCCCTCCAATCTGGTCACTTGCCTCAACGACATTAGTAACTGGATGACACACAACTTTCTCAAACTCAACCATGACAAGACTGAAGCCATTCTTATTGTCACACCAACACTGCTGAAGAAGATAAATCAGTCACAGTTTTCCATACCTAGCTATTTCACCACTGCTACCTCTGAAGTTAATAATTGTCACGCCCCGCTCCGTCCGCTCCTAATGTGTGCCACGCCCACCTCGTTACCACTCCACTTCCATAATGATCTACCGATTTAACGAAGGATAAATAACTCAAACACAGGTGTCACTTTCTAAAATATTTAATTCAAAAACATCTGTACTTGCTGCATTTGTGACTTCGTACATTGTGTGTATTCTGTTGTTGCGAGTTTTGGGTCCTGAACAAGCTGAGATTGGTGCTGCCTTAAATTGTGCCTGATGCAGTTTAGGTCACAGGGACCAAAGTGGTATGTAATATAGGAAGACAAAATGCAACTTGGAAAGAAACAAAGATTTGTCACAGTGTTCTTTCAAAAAGCAAGCAATGTAAGTAGATTCTATATGGTAAATAAATTCTATATAGGCTTAATCTATACCAAGCTATGTTGGATACAGTTGTCAGCTTAATTTTCCATATCTCTTATAGGCTAATTTATGTTATTGCAACAAAGAAAATGACTTCATCTAAGTTGAACTTATGTTAAATTATTATTATTGATTATTATTTCTTGGAGAAAATAAAGTTAAAAATCTATGAATGTGGCCTCACATAATATGTAACATTACAGTATGCAGGGGCTCAGAAAATTTGAACTTGCAACAAATGACTGGCAATTCCATACCAGACAACACTGTTACATTGCATGCATGCGGGCCAGTGTCAATCAAAATGTTTAGTATATTACATGATGCCCGAATTCCTCATTAAGCATGGCTGGAAGCTTATGAGTTGAGACCTTTTAATTATTTTTGGTCTCAGCCTGCTTGAGCCTAATCTCTTCTGTGCCCCTGCTTTATAGGGTATACTACTACTATGCCTGTATGTCTATTAATTGTAGTGTTAATACAGCGTGTGAGTTACTCAGCTGTATGTCTCTGTGTTTGAGTGACTGAGACTGCTTATGGACCTGTCTCCATGTATGGGTGTCTGACTGAGACTGCTTATGGACCTGTCTCTGTGTATGGGTGTCTGACTGAGACTGCTTATGGACCTGTCTCTGTGTATGGGTGTCTGACTGAGACTGCTAAAGGACCTATCTCTGTGTATGGGTGTCTGACTGAGACTGCTTATGGACCTGTCTCTTTGTATGGGTGTCTGACTTCTTTTAAACTACATACATATTTTCATAGTCTTAAAAGTTTTGGTTGTTTATTAATTATTGTAAAATGGAAGTTTAAAGGGAATCCCTACAAATATGTGTGTGTATTTGCTCAAATGTATGTGAAATGATCAGTATTATAATCAATGTTTTCTGCAGCCCATTGGATCAGCATGATGGGTTGTAATGTGTTTATTCTGCTGAAACTCCTACTGATTTCAGGTCAGTTTCTTTCACTTGAAGTATTCCTCATAATAGGGCCCCACAAATGTAGATATGGATCGTATCTGACAAAAGTCAGTCATATTATATGGGTCTTTCTTTTGTGTTTGCAGGACCCTTGTGTTACACTTGTTATACATGCTAGAGACACATTAACTAAATTTACATTTGGATTCAGACAAATGTAATTATATACAGTATGTATGTCTTTGATAATAATGTATTTCCATCAGCCTATCAGTTCAAAGACAGACTTGCAAAAGCCTTTCCTCATCTTGTCAGATCAGGTTTATATTTATCTATTTGTGATCATGTGTATTTGTTTCTCTCTGCCTGTGTGACTTTTTTTACAGAGTTTCACAGCCACTGTTCATGCCTTTCACATCAGTACCATTTTGTAAACATAAACCTGAGCTGGACTGATGCCCAGACTTACTGCAGAGAGAACTACACTGACTTGGCTACCATTGACAATATGGAGGAAATGAAAAGACTAACTGAGTCTGTAGACACTGATTATACAGGAGAGGCTTGGATAGGACTGAAGAAAGGAACATCATGGAGATGGCAGTGGTCCTCAGGAGAAGGAGGCACTGGGTACACCAACTGGGCTACGGGTGCAACATACAACCAGAATAATGGCTATAACTGTGTTGGGATGAAAGACGACGGTTATTGGAATAATGTTGATTGTTTTCAACAGACTCAGACAGGGTATTTCATCTGTTATACTGGTGAGTAACATTAACCGGCTCTTTTTTGACAAATGGAACATGCCTTTGAAAGTACACTATCCAGCCATGACTTACCACATAGTAGCTTTCACAGGAAAAAAGCACTACAGCCTAAATGAGAATATATTCTGTAGTAGTGCATGCATACAGGATCTGTTGAAATGTTGAGTTTTAAAGGATTTTTGAAAAATGCATTTGTCTTCAGGTAGCAGAAGACGCTCAGCCCCAGTCAGACATGATCAGTGGAGGCAGAGGTATGACCAGAATGTCATGTGTGGGGGTTGGGCATTTAGCTTATTTGGGGCGAGAGGCCAAAAAAACTGCAAAATGGGTGGAAAACTATTTTTTAATCAATCTATCGTATCCATTTTTGTAGGAGTGGACTGATAATAATAATAATAAATTATGAACCGTGAAAATGAGCATAGTACTGTAGGATTTCTTCAAAAAAACAAATTTCATTCAAATTGTATTCCAATAAAATGCAGGACTATTAGAAAATGTATAAGAACTAGAGCATGAGATGAGGAAGAATCAAAGTTATGAGCTGTTTTAATTTGATCAAAGAAGGCTGCCAACAGTTTCAAACTTTACTATATGGGCGTGCAGTGAACTGTGTGAGCACAAGGTGCTTTCCTAGATAAATGGAGGAGGCACTAACTGACACGCCCTTACTCAAATGGGTCAATTGGAAAGCAGTGCAGTTTTGATGATTGTTCTGTAAATTAAAGGAGAAGAGAAAGGTGGGAAAATGCAGATAGATAAACTTTGCAGATAGATGGCTTTTATTATTCTTGAGGGGCTCTGTGAGAATACAAGACAACACTGGAGTAGTGATGTGACGGTCGCATCGTGAACTAACTGGCTCTTCGAAGTGAACAATTGGAGCCTGCCTGGGGGCTGGACCTGCTCTGTTTTTTTCCCTTCTAATTGTTTCTGTTCAAGCCGCACGTGATTGGTCAGCTACATGATGTGTATGTGCACTGAGCAGGAGGAGGAGAAGCGGGGGTTACGGACACAGCACACACGCTCGGAGAGAGAGAGAGCTCATCAACAGCGGTATTATTTTTTCTCCAGTTTACATTGGACGAACAGATAATTTCTGAGGGTGGGCAGGGCTTGTCCCTGAGGAGGCACTGCCCACCTCAGCTCCCCCCGGACACGCGCTTGAGTGGAGGCCTTCTCAGCCATCCTACAGACCCATACATTCCCATAAGACAGACACACAAGTAAATGCACATATACGGGAATTAAAGAATGATGAATGAACCAGGACTGTCATAGTATAATGCATGTCAATCGTAGCCCCATATTTAGATTTAGGGAAAAATAAAAGCTGTGTATTTAATAGAGTAAGTACTGTGCCAGCCTAAGAATCAACATTCTGACATGAGCAGTTAGGTTTTACATTTGATCTAATAGTTTTTTACAATAAAAAAAAAGGAAAACCTTAATCATGGAATGTCATGCTAACTGACACATTAAGAAATTAGATTTATTTTGGAAGTGGTGGTGTATGATGGCTGAGGGGGGGTATTTTATTTTTCTGGAGGCTGATAATGGCTCAGCGGGTTAAGATACTGCTGAAAGGTGGCAGAGTGATTATACTGCTGCACTCCATAACCCTGTTGCTTTGGATAAAACCATCAGCTAAATGTTTTAGGAGTAAATGACTTCTGGGTTATTGTTGTTTCTTATGCTGTTTACAACAAATCCACAGCTCCCACCTATAAAGACGGAATAAATGCTACCTGGAACTTCACCTTGATTAACCAACAAATTAAGTGGTTTGCTGCTCAGAACTACTGCAGACACAGTTACACAGACCTGGCCACTGTAAGGAAAAAAGAAGATAATGACTTGATACATAAAATGTTTAACACTAGTTGGGCATGGATTGGCCTGTTCCGGGACACATGGGAATGGTCAGACCTGTCAAACTCCTCATTCCGTAACTGGAAAATGGGTCAAAATGATAGTGTGGGTACTGCATGTGCTTTAGCACAGGTCACCTGGCCTGGGACATGGGATATGACACCATGTGATGAAAAGCATCCATTCATATGCTATGATGGTGAGTAATGTAACTTTACTACAGTGGCTGATTCTCACCTTTATCTAGCAACTTTAATTTATATTACTTTAAAAATATACTACACCTAAAGTTATAATCAGTGTTATAAGTACACATAACACTGTACAGTTGCATCACAAAGCTGTTTTGTTTTGTGAATTTCACTCCCTCTACTATTCTGGTAATAAATTACTCCCTCCAAGTTTCCAAATATCACATGACTTTCTCCTGAAGCCGACTTTCTGACAATCATCTTACCTTCTTCCCCAGATAACCTCATTCTGGTAAACAGAAGCATGACCTGGAATGAAGCCCTGAATTACTGCAGAACGCACCATTCAGACCTGGCGTCTGTCCACAATGAGGAGATCCAGTACTGGGTCAGTAGGAGGGCTGAGAAGGCCTCCACTGATCATGTCTGGCTGGGGCTGCGCTTCTCTTGCTATCTGAACTTCTGGTTCTGGGTCAGTGCAGAAAATGTCTGCTACCAGAACTGGGCCCCAAACAACATATCCAACAGTAACTTGTGTGGAACCACAGGGGCAGTACAATCTAAAGACCCACATTACTGGGTCAGCCTGCCTGAGACTAAGGAGCTCAACTTCATCTGCACCAAATGTCCAAGTAAGGCTGATCCACGAACTCAGTACCTGCAAAATTGTCATAAATGTGTATAAATATGGAGCTGTACGGATGAAGTTTTCGCTTTTATTTTGTGTTTCTACTGTAGAAGTAGGATTTAAACCCCTTCTCTTGATCTTCCCCACTCCAGATTCAGAATGATATATGAGTAGAAGAGTGATTTAGTGTTTTGATTCAGATGTTTTCCTTTTGCATAATTTAGAGGAACTGTCATCTCTTGTTATTGTTACACTAAGAGTAGAAATTATATATTAGGAATGGTAAGATTCACCAATTCCCATCATTGTACTGTCATAAAAGTTCACAATGTGATTGTCAAAATTAAAAAAAATGGTACATCAGACACGATTTGGGATGAACTCAGGATGCATTATTTCTGATATCTCTGCATTGGTAACATCCATCCATTTTTTTGAAACTGCTTATCCTGACTGGGTTGCAGGGGTGGCATATGTGCACAAGGCAGGGAACAACCCAGGATGGGGCACCAACCAACTACAGGGCACACTCACACCATTCACTCACATACCACTCACTCACACACCTATGGACAATTTGGTAACTCTAATCAGCCTCAGCATGTTTTTGGACTGCAGTGCCTTGAACCCAGGCCCTAGAGGTGTGAAGCAACAGTGTTGCGATAGTGGAAACCACTTATAATGACCACGTGAGTTAGTTCGTCTGAAGAACGTTTTCTTTACTGACTGAATGCATTTCCTTTTACATCATGAGGGGTGGGAACAAAAAAGAGAAAATGCACTACGGCAAATTACATCATTTCCCCCTCATTTCAAAATAAAGCTTAAGTGTATTAAACCAACAAATACACTTTGGTGATCCTTAACAGCACATGACATTGCATAACATACATCTTATAAAGGTCTGCAAACAATTAATATCTCACGTAAACCATATTAACTACAACATCCTCCACCCCAATGAACAGTTGTTCATCACCATACGGTACACTACACATCACATAATCAAATGATCACATTATACAATCATCAAGCATTTAAACAATCTCCAGCGGATATATTAACTGCACTGGTCTTCTTAATACATTGCCTGATGAAGTGCGAACCAAACAGGAACGAATCAGTCCATCTCTCCCTGGAAACAGCTCAGTTATTCTACCCATTTTCCAAATTTGCCTGGGCAGATTGTCCTCTCCAATCAACACAACATCTCCCACCCTAAGTGAAGCGGGTGCTGGAGTCTTGCACTTGTGAGCCGATTTTAAGTCCATCAAATAGTCCTTTCTCCAGCGAGTCCAAAACTGGTTTAAAAGTTTATGTCTGTATCTCCATCTCCGATCCACGTCCTCTCGATTTAGACTAGTCGCCTGAGACTGGGAAAATGTGGCCTTCGGTGGCAGTGATGTCAACCTTCTCCCGATGAGGAAATGAGAAGGTGTCAGTGGCTGCGGCTCACTTGCATCGTCGTGCACGTAAGACAGTGGCCTAGAATTAACCACAGCCTCCACCTCTGTAAGCACAGTCATCAATTCCTCAAAGTTTAACAAAGATTTTCCTAGAACTCTCCTTAAATTTCCCTTCACTGACCTCACAAGTCTCTCCCAGAAGCCGCTCCACCAAGCTGCTCGCTCAGCAATAAACTTCCAGGTAATCCCCTTTTCAGTGAAAAACTCAGTGAGCCCTGACGTGCTGAATGATTTCCATAGTTCTTTTAGATCCAAGTCTGCTCTCTTGAATGTCCTTGCATTGTCCGAGTAAATAACCTTACAAAGTCCCCATCTTGCGATAAACCTTTTTAAGGCTAACAGAAAGTTCTCCGTGGTCTGATCTGAGGCAAGCTCCAAACGCACTGCTCCAATTAACGCCCCCATTATCTCCAAACGTGGCAAAGTCATTATTTTTAGTGGAGCTACCCTCGATTTTGATGCAACAAAACTTGTCACAATCTCCCCATCCTTATTCTTTTCTTTCAGGTAAGTGACTGCACTATATGCAATTTGTTTACCTGTGAGTTTAGTGGTATCTCAATTTGGTACCACCTCGGGATGGCCAGTAGGTGGACTCATCATAAAGTTGCCTGAGTGCTACAACATCTGCCGATCTTTTCACAGGAGTGAAGTTTAATAATTTTGACATATGAGCAGTGCCAACAATGTCATTTCTTCCAAACCGCACACGCAATAACTTTACTGCTGAATCATAGTTGTCATCAGTCATGTTAAGCCCAGTTACAGCCTTTGCTGCAGCACCAGTTAAATAGGACTTAAGGTACAGGTAGGAAAATTTCTCTCTTTTACACAATGTTACATTACTATGAATGGCTGTGTCATATTGACTCCAGAATTCCTGCCACTGACTGATTTCTCCGTCAAATTTCGCTATCTCTAACTTGGGCAGCTTAACAGTCTGCTTATTCAGAAACATGTTTGAAATCGCGCTTGCACTGCTCACCTGCACACTTTCGGCTTCCCGACCTTTCTGAATATGTCTGCTTGCACGAGTCTTCCAGACAATAATGCATTCTCAATACTCCAGCGTGCCTTCAATCTCCGCCTCCGAGTTTCATCTTCAATGCCTTTGTCTAAATCAATCAAACTCTCTTCTTTCACCGACAGCACCGACAGTGCCTCTTGTAGCTTATCACAGTCTGGTTGGTCTTTACTAACCTCCTCCTCAATCCGCGTCAGTAGTCGTGTTATCGCCGCACGAATCACACCACACTTTCGCCTAATTCGCTCCAGTGCTTCGTCTATTTCTGCAAATTCGGTAGTCTCCAACTTCAAAGTAAGTTTAAGTCCAAGCCTCAAGCCTCCCAAACTAGATCCTTATTCCCGGGTTTCGGCACCAAAATATTGCGATAGTGGAAACCACTTATAACGACCACGCAAATTAGTTCGTCTGAAGAACGTTTTCTTTACTGACTGAATGCATTTCCTTTTACATCATGAGGGGTGGGAACAAAAAAGAGAAAATGCACTACGGCAAATTACATCACTTCCCCCTCATTTCAAAATAAAGCTTAAGTGTATTAAACCAACAAATACACTTTGGTAATCCTTAACAGCACATGACATTGCATAACATACATCTTATAAAGGTTTGCAAACAATTAATATCTCATGTAAACCATATAAAATACAACAAACAGTGCTACCCACGGTACCACCATGCCACCCCCATCAGTAATGCCTGATTTATAAATATATAATTATTGGTTGAATCAAATTGTGTCAAATCACACTGAATTGCAATAAGGTTAAATCATATTGTATTGCATAAGTTGCTGCTTCATATGTATCTTTAATGTATCAGATCTTCAGCAATGCATCGAGATGTGTATCTCATCAGACTCAGTGATGGAGATCTACATCCCTAATATATATGCATTTTGAAGTTAAACAGCAGCAAACAACAAACTCAGTAACGTCTTTTGAATTATATTAGTTATATGTCATATGTTTAGTGACAGGAAGCTGCTAAATATATAACTGAATAAAGGTATTAATAAAACTCACCTAAGTGTTTTGTAAAGAATCCATCCATCCTCCAACCACCTATCCTGGTTGAGGGGTGGGGCTGGAACAGATCCCAGGCAGCTCAGGATTGGAGTATACCCTGGACTGGACGCCTCCGTCATTGTGTTTACAAAAGTTAAATCATTAGCATTCACCAAAATCTATTCTATGTTAAACCAGTTTCTCATTCAGCTTGGACCCAGGAATCCCTCACACCTGGTTACACTGCATCACACTCAGCATTTCAGTGACCACTGTTACCATTACATACACAGGGATCACTTGTGGATACTGTCTGAATGATTCACTGGTACTCAAACGAGCAAATCTGGGCATGGATTAAAAGAAAACTGGTGACTCTTGTTTTTAGTAATTTATAAACAATTTCATAACAAATAATAATGCATTCTTAAAGTATTATAAACATGGCTATAAATATTTATGCAAAGGCATAGCACATTATAGCCATGTGTATTATGCATTCTGAATGTTTTAGGAAGCTCTCATCTATAATGCACTATAGATACCTTTATTCTTTTGACATTCTTAGTTTTTTGACTGTAGTCACAGATTTTTATAAATATGAGTTTCCGAAGTGGGGACCGAAAAAATTTCAAAATTGCAGATTTTTATCACATTGTGGAGACATTTGGTCCCGACAATGTAATACATACATAACACACACACATACTTCTGGTTGGGTGAACTGATTGCCGCTGCTCGCCCGTAATTTCTAACTTTTGACTCCTAATTTTTAACTCTTGAAATTTGTTTTATGACCTTCAGACTGTGCACTTGGTCTCAATTGCACAACAAATTTTCCAGTGTTAAATTAACACTGCATGGTGTTTATATAATTCTCACCAAATCAGTTTTACATTTAACACTTTACAGAGTGCAATGAGTGTTGTTTTATAGTGTTACATTTTATTAGCTCTTATAGTGTTCAGTTGACACCATAGAGTGTTAGATCACTGTAACTCCACCTCTTCCCGATTCCAAGCCCATATAGGTGGCACACAGGTGCATAATGGGTGGCCCCTATCTGCCCCATTTTAATGTGCATACAAGATCTCATATGAGAATCATGAGCCACCCTGATTTACCAACCATCATGAGAAAGACACTGACCAAGAAGGACCTCTCAGCCTTTACTTATTATATATTAAATTTTTCTTGGCACAGTGATGATTTTTTTGAAGATCAGAGAGCTGTGTGTCATGACGTTAAACAAAGCCTTGCTTTTCATGGCTTTTTCTTGCATTTGATTTTTAAGCTAGGAAAAAAGCTATATTCATGTATTTTTTAATGGTGGGTGTGGTGTATTTGTTGATATATACATCAACTCAAAAAAGCCTGGATTCATAATGCTAAAATGTGATAGAGACTAATATCCTTGACATACCATCCTAGTGTGTTCAAAATTTAAGCCCAATAAAAATCTGAATACTAAATGAGCAAAATAATTTGATTTGTTCTTCTATCCCAAGTTGTGGTCTAAAAGCTATAAGACCACCATCTGCTTTAGGGAAAATGCACTCCTGTAGCCACTAGGGGAGCTCTCACATTCTCTGAGCCCTGCTAAATAATTATGTTATGCATTCTGACAAGCTTTATTATCTGTGTCAATAAGCACTGCTTTTTCACTAACACTACTGCTGAGAGGCTAGTTTTCCAGTCTTGGCCTTGTCATTAGGAACACATGACAATTTGCACAGTGCTATTTCATAGTGGATTCTCACTTGTTTTCCCCAAGACTGGTACCATACATTTTATTCAGTTTCATACCACAGGCGATTGTGAGAGGGCTCAATTGGTTTACTCTTATATTTACTCTTGTACAAGGAAACTATTTCATATGTTTAAAAAAACTAGTAATGAGATTATAAAACATTATTTCTCTAACTCAGTCCCAACTTTAATGCACAAGTAAGGTAAGAGTCTGAAAGAAAAAACATGTTCAGCATACAAAAACACAGTGAGCTGGTTTTCAGAAAAATCAAAGCTAACTTCATGTAAAGTTTATATAACAAGTGACAAGGCCTTGTTGGTCATAGTCTTTCTTATGATGGTGGGTTAATCAAACACAGTAGCTGGCTGCCCCAGACATAAGCCACCCATTATTTACCTGGGTGCCACCTATATGGGCTTGGAATCTGGGAAGAGGTGTAGTTACAGTGATCTAACACTCTATGGTGTCAACTGAACACTATAAGAGCTAATAAAAATGAACACTATACAACAACACTCATTGCAGTGTTACAGTTTTTTTCAATCGCTAACAAGCGCTTACCCATACTTCAGATACTTTTTCTAAACTCTTAACACAGACTCACACCTACAAAACACAATTGGC